TAAAATACTATATTTATCCCAAAGTTCACAGCAGCATTTTGACAGTCAATCTGCAGGAATTACAAAATTACTTATAATAAAATACAAATAAATTCAAGATAAACATTACAAAATTAAGTATAATATATACATATTCTCAGTAAAGGAATACCTGTATTCAGACGAGTATCTAAAACACTTTAAAATATACAGAATACATAAGAAAACTCTACCAATCTACTTAGCATGTAAACATAGTGTACTATATTAAAACGTGTTGGACAGTAGATTCATTGCAAGTAAACGCAGCTGCTAACCACCTTAAGCCAGCTAAACTGAACTGAAATGTACTAAACATTTAAAAAACGTACATTATTCAGTGACTTCCCCTTATCATCAATCAGTGAATATTTATTCTGATTAATGTCAGTAATCAAGCTGAGTTTTATAATGCTAATAACGTAGCGCTAGCAGCTAAGCTATCGGCAAGGGTTTGTTATAATTAACGTAATGTTAGCAAACATAAACAAACGTCACCATGTGTGGGATTAATATAAAATTACATATCAATACTTAAGCATAAATGAGGTTTGATACGTGGCCTACTTTTAATACAAGACTGTCTTAAACATTAGCAACATTAGCCTAGCCATGTCAGCTAACAAGGCTACATTAGCAACATTAGTAATGTCGATTAAAAAGCAATGTTTTTACTCACCCTGAGTGTTTTCTGTCATGTTGGAAGGCGCGTCACGCTTTAGAGTCTCACTACAAAACCGGAGAAGTGCATTTAATGTTTAGTATTTCACCATTTTAACGGTAGAAACGTGAAACTATCTGCGGCGGAGATTTCACGAGCAGAGCAACAACATGGACGAGCTGTGTTTGCTGCAGTGATGCATTGTGGGTAGGAGACGCTACAAAAGAGGGAGCTTCTTGACAGGTCATGTAAACACAGATGCAAACATTAGGACATGTTTACTTTGTTTGTACTGTAATCCACACATTTTGAGATGCTTTCCAGTATTGGTGAACTTATATTAAGCCACACGTTCCGGTTTTAACATATGATGATATCGAATTCGTCCTTCAATTTGAAAAACTAAACAAAAACTCAATTTTGAATCAATAATTAATTATACAGAGGTCTAAACACCTATGACCACTTGCTGTTCATAATGCCCTCACTTTTGAATGAACACTGATGTTAATGTGACTTTTTTTCATATGTATTGGAATAATTGTTCAATAAAGTAAAAGAGTACTGACTGGCAGGATTCATTGATGAGAAATATTGCAGGTTTTCTTTCTATAATGTGGTTTCTGGTATGCTTTTTGTGTAGATGTGAGGGGTTGACACATGACTGTCAGTCCCATGATTCTTTAAGGAGGCATGTTTAATAGAACAACAACTATATGCATGCATCAGACACTCAATTTTCAAATTTGGAAATCCAATATCGTACTTAGTCTTTATTCAAGTCCCTCCTTTGATTTTCCTTCCTTGTAAGGTCAAAGCCTTTTTACATTTCTATCTCTGACCAGGTTTTTCTTCTTCCTTTTCCTTTCTGAGAGTAAAACTTGTTGTCTGCAGCGAGACTACAGTAGATTTTCGAACCCCCAAATTCCTCCTTTGGCTGACAAACGTCAACAAAGCCCCCGAGAGACACCAAAGAGAGGTGAGCAGTGAACTGAAGCCTCATTGTATCGGCTCATTATGGCGTCCCGCAGTGAGGAAGAAGCTATTTTGTAGCAGCACAAGGTCAATATCTGAAAGCCAGGGCGATGGAGTGGATCAGCCATGAGATTTTTAATTTGAGAAAGCGTAACGGGGTTTTCCTGCAAGACGGTGTGTGAATTTCAATGGACTGTGGGGATTGTACAGGCAATATGTGGAGTTGGCAAATGTTGTCCAAGCTCCCTGATACTTCTTTGTGTCACATGCAGTTTTTGCTATCAAGATTTCAGGCAAGGGATGAGTGCTGCTGCTTATAAAAGCATGATGTTTCAGCCTCACACACACACACACACACACACACACACACACACACACACACACACACACACACACACACACACACACACAGTTACCATGCTGCACGTACATGAAGAAGCTTCTGTATCCAGTGTTTGTCCTTCATTTTAATGCAAATCATATCAATACGTATCCCACACTTTATTAAACAGCTGTTCCCAAAGCTGTCTGAGATATTTCTCTGCTTCCTGGATTCACTTTCCCAGGAATTTTGATTTTACTTCCAAAAAGATGTGAAAAGGGGAGCTGTCACTCTCTATTATGGTGACCTCAATGATTGTGTGCCCTATCCAAATCCAGCGGTTTTCCATAACAATGCAAATTAAAGGGTGCAAAGCCGAAGGAGACAAGACTTGTTATTTTCAATCCGAAGGACAGAGGTTCTTTACAACAAACTTGTCTGTACGCCTCTAAAACTTGATTCAAATGCCAACTTGGAAGTTGTTTTGTGTGTGAGACAATGCGTTTTTTGCTCATGAGGGTCAGCTACTATCTTGAGAACGTGATACTGGAGCTGTGGAGTTTATTTTGCAAATGAAAGATTATACAAAATAATAATCATATTGCATTGTGTTTTTATGTATATTGTTGAAGCAGACTCAAAGTTAGGGGAGGTCAAATTAATGTGTAACCATGTGGATGTATCATGGACACTATTGACTTAATATACTTGCTTTTGGCAGACTTAGTACTGTAGATTTCAGTTTTATCAACAAGGACCAATTTGGGTATCAATGCATGGTTTTAATTGGAAACTGGTCAAGGATCTGAGCTTCAATTGAAAGGAATACAGTATACTCCAATCCAATTTGCATATGTATGCTGAATACAATAAGCAAGCAACAGTAATACATCCTGGTACTCATAAAGGACATTTTCATTTCATTTCATTTCAAACCTTTATTTAACCAGATTGGTCCCATTGAGATCATAGATCTCTTTTTCAAGGGAGACCTGCAGCATATAGGTTCCACATGAAACATAAAACAATAAAGGACATCATACATTATATGTACAGGATACATTTACATAGTTATAGACATTTACAAGCGCCCATAGTATCAACGAGCATTTCATTTAGCCTAGCTTTAAAAACATGCAGAGGAATGAGATTGCTCAGTTTCAATTCTTGCTGAAGACTGTTCCAAGCAAGTGGAGCTGCGCACATAAAAGCTGTCTTACCTAAGACAGTCCTTGCTCTTGGCACATCTAACAATACTACATCATGCGACCTCAGACAATAGCTGCTTGCAACTCTCTGTGTGATCAGAGAGCAGATATAATACGGGAGTTTACCCAACAAAGCTTCATACTGCATAATGCTTTGTTGCACAATTTAATGCTAGGACCATTGCTATAATTTCAACTGTACGAAGTCTTGTGCAACAAAGCATTATGCAGTATGAATTAAAACAATGCATATCACTGACAATTGTAACTGCTGCTTTAAAACAAAATGGCACAGTGGGAAAAGGGAAAATCGACGTGGTTATTTATCCCCAGAGGTCATATATGTTATGTAAATCTGTAGAAATTAGATAAAAAAACATATGAAATTAGGGTTATTTAAGTTAATTGCATCTAGGTATTATTGTGTACAACTACCCGTATAATTTATGTACATGTCTGAGGTATTACTAGTCTTTGTTATACACAATACACTCATCTGCAATGGGTGAATAGTCTGCAGTCAGTGACCCACATCTCAGATCTGCTTAACTCAGACTGTTGTTTTATTCAGTGCACTGTCAACACTACTGTGAGTAGGCGGAGGGGGCGGGGTTTCATGCTTATCTGCCTCTCTGATTGGCTGCTAGATTCGATTCCTCATTTCCTATTGGCTGCTCGCTGCTGTCAGTCTATATCTGTTATCACCGCTTCCCGCGCCATTCCACGTGCACGCGCGGGACCAGCAGGCACGTCCCCGCTTGGAGACTGTCTGGAGTCTGTCTGAAATTGATAACAATTGGAGATGGAGTTTTAATTGGCATCAGGAAGACGCTGGTTGGAAATGGATTTTTATTTCTCGCGCTACTCCTAGAAAACACCTTCGCCAAAAAGAGTCTCCTTGCTGAGATATACATGTATTTTCTTTAAACGCTGTGAAAGTTTTTTCTCCTGCAGTGTGTCAGCAGCAGACAGCTCTTTATTCCCAGGTAGGTGAGACAAGTTAGTGCACTGAGCTAACGCTGCTGCAGCATTCGCCTTTAAATGTTGTTTTGTGCACGCTTTGCTTAGAAAATAAACAACCCTGTTCTGCATTATCATACTGAGTTTTACATTAATCATTTTTAGCTGTTTAAAGAACGCGTTTAATGCATATTTCTCCCACATTGCACCCTGGAAGCTAGCTGTTTTGTTTGGAGGTGGTGCAGGTGACGCACCTGTGCTGATGATGACGCTGTTCATTAACCCCACCTGTTCATTACCTGAGCGAGAAACTGCCTATTTTGCAACATTATCCCCCGTTATTCCTCTGATTAAAATGCACCACACCACGGCTTTATATTTCATATGTCACAGGTGGCAACATCTCAACTAATCTAAATGAGTGTGGCTTTAGAGGTGACGTGAAATGCATCCTGTTTGACATGTTTCCTTCTTCCTTTGCTCTTGCTTAGGCTCTGCAGGGGATCATCCGTCAGCCTTGAGTTCAGGAGGAGTGCACCATCCAGCCTGCACAAGGTTGGTTGAGACTGGGGTCAGATCCACTGCATGCATGAAATGGAGTTTATCAGATAGCATTTATTCATTTATCTTGATTACACTCCTAAACAAATTAATTCATGTTTTTCTTAATGCTTTCAATGTTTACTTTAAGCTTTCCACAAGTAGCTTCATAGTCCAATACAACTGTCTGGTAGCATATTTAGCACATATTTAGCTTATTTATGAGCACATACATGTACACACTAATAGTTGAATGCCGTCTTTCACACTTAATTCAAGGTTGGTTGAAACTGGGGTCAGATGCATGCATTTAATGGAGTTTATCAGACGGCATTTATTCATTTATCTTGATTACACACCTAAAAAAAAACATTGTATTCATGTTTTTCTTCCTTTGGCATCTTAATGCTTTCGGTGTTTACTTTCCACAAGTAGCTTCATAGCCCAATAAAACCTCCTGGTAGCTTCAATGTATTATATATTAGCACATACACACTGCTATTTGAATGCTGTCTTTCACACTATATTCAAATGCCTAGCTTTGACGTCACTTTAAATATGTTTAATATTGCTGCATCAGCACTTTAAATGGAAAAAATCTGCATGTTTTGTATTGTTTTTACACGCTATCTGTGGTGGAGTTTGGCATATTTGATATATTGGATGATTATTTCGAACAAGGCTTGTCCAGACTGTGGAAAAGGTCTATCGTCATACTGTTTCTACCCAAAATGTGTCACTTTTGCATCAATTTAGACATGGATTTAACCCAAAACAGTGTGTTAAATGCAGTTAATGTGTACCTGGTCTGCTCCCTCAGACGCTTTTGCTCTGTCACTGCAGATTTGAGCATTGAGTAGTCATATGACTCAAAGCCCTCCTCCCCAGTGTCTGCTCTTTTGGGGCAAGATGGCTGCTATAGCATTGTTGTAATCAATGAGTTGATGTTAGCAGAAAAACATGGGGTTACATTACACTTCAGTGACACCCCAGGAAATCTGCACATTTGACACTGAAGAGACGGTTAATGGACATCCCTTTAAAAGGTTTCCCCAACTTAAATATTGTGCGTTTAGACGATTTGATGATTATTTATCGCTATTTTTCACCAAAGCAACCCAAATACTGGGCAGTTTTTGTGTAATTCTTGACTTGATGGGTGTTTCATTCCCTACTTCTTGCTCCATGCTGCGTATCGTTTTGTTTTGGGACGCATGGTAGCCATTTTGTCTGATTCATGACTGGCAATTGGTGCCAAAGGCTTCCTAAAATGTGTTCTGAGCAACTCAAATGTCTCAGCAATTTCTAAAAATATCAGCAGTGGCTTCTGATCTTGAATGTCTTCTCTGCTTTCTCTGTATTTTTATATAGAGAATAGAGTATCTTGCAAATAGGCACACCTACAGTCTGTTTCTGGACACATATCAACAACACCGTACAGACAGTTTGCAAGAAATAAAAAACAATTGCTTATAATTAAAGCATTTTTTAAACATGTGGCGCCACCGAAACACAAGTATTATTTTACGCGATGTGAAATAATTTACAAACGTTGAAGATAACGCATTAGCAGCTGCAAAAAACATTTTGTAATTGTGTATAAATTAGCCTTTTCGGTACATTTTGGATTAATTACCTGCAGTCGCCTAATCTAGATTGCATTTGTCGAAAAGGTGCATGTGACGGGTTATATTTGAGGCGATATCATCACCTTGTTTTGAACTTATCTGCTTTAATAATAACCTATAATTATTTTCGTAAAATTGGAAAGCTATAGGATGGAAGAAAAGCGTCTTGCTTACGTTTTTTTGGACCTAACTTTTAGTGGATTAATTAAAGCACACATTTTTAAGGCCTTCATACGATGGATGTATGCATTATTATCACATGTTTAACGTACTTAAAAACCAACTCATAAAAACACTGGTTGATAGAAGACAAGCTTGTTGCACTCCTGTAAAGTTACGTTTTATAATCATCAACCTGCTTTTCAGTGGATTTATTAAAACGACATGCATTTGTTCTCCAGGCTGCACCATGCAATATTAGTTTTTGCACTTATTCTCACAGCCCTCAGTGATTTTGGATATTATCTGAGGCATGTAAGAGTGCTCCTCGCCTCTCTCTGACATTACGAGTTACTTCCCCTCAGCGAGTCTTGTGATGTTTATCAGTTTGCTGTATCAGTGGCCAGCCTGGACAGATCTCTTCATTAACACCTACTTACTGCATATCTGCTGTCAGCTCGTCCTGTCATAACCCTTAAAGCTTCTCTGACTGCTTCTTGTGATTATGGTACTTTCTTTTTAACCTGAGAGGACAGACACACTCAAAGCATGCTCTGTTTCTGCAGGGCCTGATCCAGTGTCTCACAAATGACTGGTATTGCAATTAGGAAAGGTAAGAGAATAGAAAAACACGGGAATATGCATTTTTGTTGGCAAAACGTCTCTATGACATTGCAGTTTTTAATATTTTATTTTAATTATAATGATTACGAATGCATAAAACAAATCTGTTTTCGCAGTATTTATTTAATAATTGCGATCATTAGCTTTTATATGCATCTAACTAAATGAGGTTTTGTGCATTGTCCTACATTAAGTGATGCATTTCTTAATATTACCTTAAAACAATTCCTATTACGGCTTGAATTAAACATTTAAATATCTTTGTATTAATGTGAATACAACTACTACAGCTCAGGCTTTTATTACGAGGATGTTAACAAGCATTATAGGTATAAAAATAATATTTAACACCTCAGCAACATGATATTTTGTTAACTGTTCGACTGTAAATTTAGCGAAATCCACGAAAAACAAATATAAAAAGGTGTTTAATTGAATGCATTTCCTTCCGTATTCTCTCAGCTTATTATTAACCCCCGTGGTGTGTATCTTGACTTTTAAACCACAGTGTTTTCTCTCTGTTTTCACAGAGATCCAGGGTTGTCCTGCAGCCTGTCATGCCTCCATGCCCTCTCTGTTGCAGTGTGACCGCCCCATGGTAAGATCCCTGTTGACCTTTCATTAAAGCACATTTGGGCTGAAGTTAAAAGTGCAGAGGAGCTATTCCAGGAATGCTTTAAGGTGCTGCAGAGTGCCTGAGGGAAATCTGCACACTGCACTATTTACTGAGGAGTTTTCTCTGGCTCGTGACGTGATGAGGAGTGATCAAATTCAGCGCCGTCATTCACTCGTCAGCGGCAATCTTTTTCCCTGATTGGTGATCTCTTCATAAGATAATCATGGATATGGATCTGGTAACTTTCACTTGAGGCTTAACCCGGAAAATGCTGATGCAAGACGAGCTTCCAGCCGAACACCCCGCGTTTCTATTGGCTCGTTGTCTCCACCCACAGTCACGAGGTACAACTTCATGATGATGTCTGGAGGAAACAGGCTTTCATCGGCAGCTTCTAATGCTGCCCCTGAGCTGTACTGAAAAGATTTCTGGGGTTATTTCTGTGCACAAATGTTGTTTCTGAGCTCTGTCGTTCAGCAGCTACAGCCATTGTGTTCCTATAAAGCTGTGGGTTGTTGATAATCCCAGAATCCTTTGCTTCGTAGTGACGCAGTTTCCTTTGACATTGGCGTGGCATATTTTAAATCAAGGCCTTCGCTGTATTTTAAGGAGTCTCCTGGCAGACTGCCAACACATGGATCCATTTGCCTGTTCCCTCCTCCTTCAGAGCACAACTGCACAGCTGTGACTCTGCGCTGGCCATCGATAACTCACAGCCAGTGGCGTCCATCTTAGATTTGGGCGAAAGAGATGAAGTGAAATGAAGCTTTGCAGAAAACAGAAAATCTGAACTTGCTGGAAAATGTTCTAAAAAAACGTCACGACTTTTACAGAGAAACAAATTTCAAAATGATACTGAATGTGGAAATACGTTTGAGTTGATTAAATGTTATTTTTTGAGTTCTGCGCGATGCATTCTCATTTTATTTTAGCGTCAGAAAGTCCTATTTTTCATTCTTTTAAACCGACTCACAAATGCATTTCATCGAATATTCTTTTGCTAGAATTTCAAGTCGATAAAGCCTAGAGTACATTCTTAAAGCCGCAATTAAATTCAAAGCAGATCATAAAATATACAGCAGTTGGAAAATAAAAAATGTATTTGTCTGAAAATGTTTGTGCGATTTTTTTTTTGTTGCAAAAGCGATCGACGATTTGAAACACAAGCGTTGCAATTTGAGAATTTTGTAAAGCAACGTAAATATGTTTTGTTTGTATAGTCCCGTGTTTAAAATGTCTGATTATTACAGGCGTTGTTTGACTCCGGTAAATTGTGTTTGACAATATGAAATCAAAAGATGACGGCAAATTAATTTGTCTAAATAAAATAAATGCAGTTTTTTTTTTTTTAAGCATCGTCCAAATTAATCTGTTAATTCAGAAAATACATTTAAAAATAATAGGATGCTGTTTTATATCTGATTTGTACGACCGTATTATCCATTTTTATTTAATTCACTACACTATTTTATTCTCCTACTCTTTATGTATATTACACGTTCTGTAAATATTTTTAAAACGACATAAAAAGTATTTTTGCTCAAGTTTTTTTAATTCTTCGTCGTAAAATCGTCTTTATTTTAAAGTTGCACATGCAAATACACTTTAAATGTATAATATTCCCCTTGCATGATGCATTTAGAGTACTGTATATTGTGCTGTGGAGGGGCCTCCTGACTCCCTGAGAGGTTTAGCTGACCTTTACCCTCTTAAAGGCTTGTTTTGGTTCCCTGTTAAGAGCGGTGTGAAAGCCACACTGTGTTTAATGCCACGTAGCACAACAGTGGCTGTCAGGGACATTAAGCCTCTGCACACAGCGAGAGGAAACGTGCTTTAATGCACATGTTGCCCAACCTATAGGTGAACGCATCAATAGTTGAATTTTATTGAGTGTATTGCACGTTTTAAATCTGTTGCAGAATGGACATGCACGTTGAAATTGGCAGAAATGTAGTAAAAATAAACGGAAATATCGTTAAGATATTTTTTTATGTAAGACAACAGAACAATGTGACTTTAGAAGATAAGATATTTAGGATTCAATTGATAGGAGAACCTTTCATGAAGCATATTAAGCCAACAATGAGCTCATAGTACAGTTTAAAGAAGCAGAAATCAAATCTAAGCTGCTCCGTTTCACTCTCACACACAGTTACTCTCACACACACTATTCTCTGAACATATAGGTTCACCTGCTGCATTAAAACAGAACACATGAAGCATCAGAGAGTTGTTTATGGGCTGGATTTAAATCAAACACTCAGGTTCACTTCCTGTTTTTTATTTTGACTGCAATCCGATTGACTTTGTAACGCAGTGTGCTCGTCTGTAACCCTCTCATAAACGCTCAAACAAGTGCTCACTTTCTGGGTAAGAAGCTTCTGGCCTGAGATGAACTCCTGCTTTTTTTTACTGAGTTCTCATAGTGCTGGATAAAAGCTTGCATGTGAAGACACGTCGTCCAAAACGGTTGCATTTAAGCGTTCAATATACTACATAAATAATCAGGATACTAATGAAGGTAGCTGTACTCCCTTACAGTTGCATGATATCAATCAGATTACTGTTAGAAATTGGGGATTACATTGATACTAAAACCTAAATGGAGCATATAGTGTTTGTTGTAAAGGATCAGATGTTATCTCTTCTCTGTGAGCGGTTCTGATCTGTAGGATAATACTTTCAGAGTGAATCTATACTGCCTGAATCTGCTTCATGGGTTTCACTTTCTTTGCTTCATGTGTTCTGTTTTTAACTCAGCAGGTGAACCTATGTGTTCATACAATAGTGTGTGTGAGCTTCACTGTGTGTGTTAAACTGAAATGGAGCATTTTCTGCTTCTTTTAAACTAGTCTGTGTTCATGTGTTTCAGTGTTAGCCTGAATCTGCTTCATGAAAGGCACGATTTCCTATCAATAAAATCCAATTTGATCCTAAATATCTTGGTTTCTTGTTCTGTAGAAAAAACACCTTGTATTTATTTCCTCTTTTATCTGCATTGCATTTGATATTGGAGTAATCCGGTTACTTTTATTATTAATGCACTGTTGGTTAATAACCCTGCACTTCAGTTTCTCAGCAAAGGTTGCATGTAAAGCACAAAGTGTCCTTGTAACCCTATATAGATCTCGACCTATACTTAAAGCATAATAGGGATATTAAGACGTATAGAAAACATTTTGATTTGACTTTCTACCCATTTTAATCACGGAACAAGCCCATTAGTTATCCTACAGTTCAGCAATAACATCTGTAGTGACCCTAACCCTAACCCTAATGTACTTTGAAAACCATTTGAAAAACGACGTTACGATAATATTTAGGTTATTTTTTAACTCAAATGCTAAAATCCTCGTTTAATATCTTGAATTTACTCTAAAAATATGAATTAGGAGAGGAAATATAAAATTAAACATGTTTTAATAAAGCTTTTACAGAGATGTAATGATGCAACCCCACTGTTAAGGAGGACAAATCCAAATGTGTGCTTTTGCTCGTCTGTAATTTAGTTTAAATATTATCTTTTAAAGGGGTTTGTGTGCAAATCAAACATTAACATATAAGTTGACTTTCCACCCATTTTAATGAAGGAACACTTCAATGAGTTGTCGTAGAGTTTCGCAATAACATCTGTAGTGTGGTACTTTGAAAACCATTTTAAAACAAGACATAATGATAATATTTTGGGGGTTTTGTATCTCAGAAATGCTAAAATCCTCGTCTAACATCTTGCATTTACTAAAAGAATATGACTTTGGAGAGAAAATATCAAATGGACATGTTTATACTTTGAAAACCATATAAAAACCAACGTTAAGATAATATTTTGGTTTTCTTTTTACCCAAAAAAAGGCAGAAATCCTGGTGAATTTACTCAACATATACAATTCAACATGTTTTATTCAAACTTCTGCAGGTTTTTAAACTAACATTGCAGAGATTTAATGATGCAACCCCCTGTTAAGGAGTACAAATCCACATGTGTGCTCTTGTACTCGTGTAATTTAGTTTAAATATGATCTTTGTGCAAAGGGGTTTGTGTGCAAATCAAACTAAAGTTCTATATATGCAAAAATAACCACTTTTTAATTGCCTGAGTTTAGCAGCTCCACTGAAACTTTTCGAGTTGTTTTGAGGGGTGGGTGTGCTTGCATTTCTCCCTAATTGGGGCTTATTGGAACACACCTGGACACACCTTCCTCCTTTTGCCTTTTGACCTTTTTGTGAATTAAGACGGCAAGCTAGAGTTCGTCAACGAAGGGTGGAAAGGGGGGGGGGGGGGGTTCACCGTGACTAATTAGTAAGTCTCACTCCTCTGAGGTGAGGTCGGGGGGTTTATGAGTAAATACCCACCTGCTCCAAGTTGCAGTAACCTAATCAGTCTCGGTGGACGTTTGAAAGTGAATATTTCATATCTGCGCTGATCTCTACCAGCTCTCATATCTGACTCTCTCTCCGTAAGCCTCACACAAGCGGCAGGGTCTCTTCCCTCCACACAATGAGGAGGGAAAGGTCAGGCCTAATGAAGTCGGGGGTGTGACCTCTAGCATTCAGTGACTTCTCCCTCCGTCCTGCCGCTGAAGCCATGCCGCTTAATCCCTTTTTGATCCTAATTGATAGGCATTAACATGATCCTTATCCAGGAGCGGTGTTTTGTCTTCCGCAGCCCTGCTCTCTGGGTGTCGGTGACACAAAGTGTGAAAGCGTTAAACCAAATGTGAAATTGATATTTTTCATGTTAGTGCGCTGGTGTTTTCTGAAACGCTCACACAGCAGAGCGGCCGGTGTTTCAGCGTTTCGCCCTCTGAGCTCTTAGCAGGACTTAACACATGACCTCTGGAATCCCATTCTGGCCTTTTATCTCCGTCACAAGGTGATTACCGCCTCACACCGTCGACTAATTACCCTCTTCAAGTCACACTGCAAACCAAAGCTGTTTAGATTTATTATCAATTAACTGGTGGTCTCTCGACTCTAATTAA